CATTCTAAGTCTCCGGCCCTGGTGGGTCGGTGGCCGGTTGGGGTAATTAGGGGAGACGTGTTTGAGGAAGGTCCCCACCCTGGTGGGAAGGCCGGTGCTGGGCGGCTGGCTGCAGCGTTGCCGGGGGTCCTGGCGGTGTGGCCGCCCAGGGGGCCAGGAGGCCGTGTGGTGCTGATGGATTAGGTTTCCTCCAGGAGACAAGCGGCTCGGGCGCTCGTTCCTGCAGTGCCCGCCGCCCGACAGCCCTCTCTTAGGCCCGCTCACCCTCCCTGCCCTTCTGTTAACAGGAAGGCGTAGGGAGTCAGGTAAAAAGCGGAAAAGAAAAAGGTTAAAACCCACCTAACCAGCCAACCAGGTAGGAGCCGTGGCTGGACGGGCCACGTCCCGCGGGGGGAGGGCGATGGCTGATCACAGGGCGAATCACCGCGAGGAGAGGCCGAGCCCGTGATTGGCCGTGATTGGCCGTGATTGATTGGCCGTGATTGATTGGCCGTGATTGCTCTGCGAGCTTGGTGTCCAGCTGGGCTGTGGGTCCCCTGCTCCCGTCCCCGATGCCTCCCCTCCCGCCACATGGAAGCCTCCTCCACGGCCCTTCTGCCCGGAGGCCCTGCTCTGGCTTCAGTCTTTTCCTTGATTGGGGGGCAAAGGCGTCTCCTGAGTGGAGTGATTGGAGTTTCCTGGGCAGCAGGGGGGGGCAGCTCAGGCAGGTTACTTGCTCCATTTGACAGGTGAACACACTGAGGCTGATAGACATGGCAGGTAAGGGTTGCCGAAGGCTGAGGAGGTCTTTGAAGGTAGACGTTTGTGACTCATGGACAGACAGGGAGACCAGAGGTGTCAGCAGGGACCCTCTTCTGTCCAGGCCAGGCCCGGTGCTGTCCATCCTCAGAGGTGCCTCGTGGCCCAAAATGGCTGCCAAAGCTCCAGAAATCACATCCACACTCCAGACTGAAGGAACGAGTAAGGTGGGAAGAAGGAATCTCACCCAGGGGCTCACGTTGATTGCACGGGCCACCCCCCAGCAGCAAGGGAACCCGAGAAGCAGTCTTTTAGGGCCGCGTACTGCTTGCCGAAGAAAAGGGGGTCTGGGCAGCCAGCATCCGCACGGATGGTGTTGGCCTGTTCGGCTCGGAGAGCCTGGTCCTTCCTCTGGCCCAGGGCATCCAGACAAGCGGTGGCGAGAGGAATTCCTGGAGACGGGTGTCTGGTTGGCAGTTGGCTGCAGGGAGCTGCCGGGCAGGAGCTGGTGAGGCCTGTGGGCCAGGTGCCCTCGTGAGGAGTCTGGGGAGGAAGGGCCCAGGGCATGGTGCAGGGGCTGTCCGAGCCTCTAGTCTACAGGCCCCGGGGGCCAGCTGATGACGACCCTAACGTGAAGGCAGGCATCCTGCATCTGGGCTCTGGGCCGGGGTGTGGTGCAGGTGTTAGAATGAGCAGTGGACAGGTGAGGGGGCATGGGGTGAGCTGCTCCCCGCCCAGAGCGCAGTGCACATCTGCCTGGTCAGAGACCCCTTCTGTCTGGCTGGTGGTTCCCGTCCTCAGGGTTGCCTCATGGCCCAATGTGGCTGCCAGAGCTCCAGGAATCACATCATGCCCTAGGCTGGAAGAAAGGAAGGTGAGGAGAAAGACGAAAGAACCTTTTGGGGCCTCTTTCCCCTGTGTGAGCAGTGGGACAACGGGGCTTGCTCTCAAGCCTTCTTTTGTGAGATCCTGAGAGTCTAGTCCAGCCATGGGCAAACTACGGCCCGCGGGCCGGATCCGGCTCGTTTGAAATGAATAAAACTAAAAAAAAAAAAGACCGTACCCTTTTATGTAATGATGTTTACTTTGAATTTATATTAGTTCACACAAACACTCCATCCATGCTTTTGTTCCGGCCCTCCGGTCCAGTTTAAGAACCCATTGTGGCCCTCGAGTCAAAAAGTTTGCCCACCCTTGGTCTAGTCCCAACTCTGGTAGGATGTTACCGAAAGAGTAATGAGCCCTAGGGGGTTTGAAAAACTTCACGAAAACGTCAAATGCTAAGACTTGCCGCTGTGTGTGTACACGCGTGTGCGCGTTCATGTGCGTGTTCATGTGCGCGTGCCCTCGGTGGGGTTGAGCGTCCCCTCGCTGCGTGTGCTCATGGGCCCGCCTCTCAGTGTCTCTCTCTCCCTCTCCCTGCAGATGTGAGGTGAGGATAAGCTAGCGGCCCTTTCCCGGGACACGGATGTACATGGCGTGTTACATTCCTGAACCTACTATGTACGGTGCTTACTGCCAGCGTGCGGTCTTTGTTCTCCTCCGTGAAAAACTGTCTCCGCGCGCACCCTGGAGAACAAAGAGACAGTGTACGTCTGTTTAACGTGACATCAAAGCGAGTATTGTAGCGCTGGGCGAGCCGCTCAGAGCTTCCTTGTCCGAAACAGAGCGCACAGGACCGA